AGAGGGTGCTTCTTAGTCTAAAGCAGGGTTGAAACAGGTTCCCTACTTAAAGCTAATATCAAACTCAACATTGTATACTTACTGTTCATTTTAAAGTTAATAGCCGACAAAAACAGAGTCAGTATGGTACCATTTTACTGAATCTAAGACATCCATTGTAACGTACCATTATTTTATGTACTACTAAAAACAATTTTTAAAAAATGCTAGTAAGTAAGCTGTGAATTAAGGTCTTCTTTTGTGTCGACATTTTTACTTTACATTTATGGAAAGAGTCCTTTTGACAGAATTTTGTCATATTCAGCTCTCATGTAAACATAAAAAGGAAAACACAAGCAGTATAAATTTATTTCTAAAACTTTACAGTTTAGAGTTCGACTCTTGTGAATCACTTTCCGACACAGAATCATCAATACTGGATTTTTCTCATCCAGTAGTATTCTGTGTGCCACAAGAAGGTGATTAAATATTTCTTAAAAGGGCTGCACTTTTGTCCCCAGTATTTTCTTCCAAGCCATTGATACCTATTCAGCAAGTTTTCACAGTGATGTAGGCTTGATTCACCAGGTGTTAAAGGCAGCTTTTCAGACAACAGCCAGGACTCATATTCCTTCCTCAAATAGTTGTTGATTTTTGGTTGCACATTGATCAGCTGCACTTGGCCAGTCATGCCATGAGGAGAAGCAAACAGCTGTGTACATTTGCAGATGATAGCAAGGACATTACAACTACCACCTGGCTGATAGCAATCGTTAAGACACCAGCAACTGTAAGGCACATCCCAATACTCAAGATGTTAAAATGTGGAAAAATGTGTGTCTCATAATCTGTGAGTATTTCACGTCACACCAAATAGAGAAGCCTGTATCTGGGATTGTGATTTGTCTTCACGGTTGTATCATGGGTGAACCACTGATAAAATATCTGTCTATCTATAAAATTAGTTATCTTTTCAAAGATCACACTGGTCCCTACTTAACAAGCATCCTTTTGTTTCTGAAACATGCACATGGCACCCAAAGATTTTCTGCCTCAACAGCTGACATGATCTTGTTTTCTTTTTTTTTGTATGGAGACCAAAGTTTATTGTGGTTACCAGGGGTGGAAGGGAGGGAGGGAAAAGGGGAACTTACTGCTTACGAGACACTGATCCTCTATTAAGGGTGATGGAAAAATTTGGAAATGGATAATGGTGATGGCTGAACAATGTGATGAACACAGCTAATGCCACTCAATTACATATGTTACAAATGTTGAAATGGCAAATATTTTGTTACATATATATTTACCCCATACCCCCAAAAAACACTTAACTAAAAATAAATTGGCACAGCTAAAACCAAATCACTTTGAAAACAGATAAACTAAAAATAAAGTGAAAATGTGTAAGTATAAAATCAAATGTCTCAAGTATAAATTGTAAACAAAAAATTACTAAAATAAACTAAAAATTAATAATTATAAGAATAAAATACTTTTATAAAATAAATGAAAATACAATAGGTCTCCCAACACTGGGCAAGCTCCAGTCCTCTGAGGTTCAGGCTGAGCCCTCTGGGTGATGGCCTTGGATGGTCTCATCATCAGAACATGCAGACTGTATCCACAAAGCATTCTTCTGAGTCTCCAAGGGCAGCGATAGTGACAGGGTGGCCTGGAGTGTCTTCTTCATCGTTGCTGTTCAAGTCAGCTATGCTCTCCACAGGCAATCATTTGTACTTGTAACTGAGGCCATGTGGCATTCAGATGGGACATCCTCATCTGCCCTGTCAACAGGAAGCTCCTCAAACAGCCCAAGCAGCAGCTTGCATGGTGTTGTCTGTAGGGAATATTTGACGTGCACCCTGTTCTTTTGCCAGTAGCCCCTTCTGATGCTCCTGACCCAGGACTGGGGATGGCCCATAGATTTTCTTGACCAAGGATCAATTTTTCTTTCTCTCTTGAGGCAAGATCCTGAGTGTTCATCATCGCCACTGCTCGATTCATACTCCTGTCCACAAGCTGAACATTTTTTCTTGCTCTTGAGGCCACCTTGGCGTTAGATGGGGCCTCTTCACCTGCCCTGTAACTCAGAAGCTTCTCCAATGGGTTGAGCTAGTCAAATGGGATGAATGCAATTTTCTAGGTGGAGAGGTATTATATATTATAAAGGCTTGTGCTCGAAAATTACAGTTTTATTATAGCAAGGAGGACACAGACGAAGAGGTCTGGGAGGGTTCCCAATGCAGAGCTTCCACCTGCACTGATGTCTTAGACCAACCAGAAAGCCCATGGAGCTTGATGACAGGATCTCCTGCAGAATGGTGTCATCTGGGCAAGCTAATTCTAAAGATGCTTATAATTGATCAGCTGGATTTGGACTTGCAATTTTCCCCTATTTTAATACTTCCCCCTAGTTACTATAAATCAGAACTAAAAAGGGGTAACTGTAATTCAGGATATTCTTTCATGACTCCTAGGCTTTAATTTTTTTACATAGCAACTGGTAGGCTATTTTGCATTAGGATCAAATGATCTAATAAAAACGTATTTGTCGTATCAAGAGCTTTAAAAGTTTTCATACTCTAGTTACTCTATTTCTTGGACTGTATCCTAAGTAGCCCAAACTACAAACAAAAAATGCATGTCCAAAGACATTAATCTCAGCCCTATTTATATCAGCAAAACTTTGGAAAAATCCTAAAAGTCCAACAATGGGACAACTGTTAAGTCGGTTAGGGAAACGTGCAGCCTTTAATTTTATTAATTCCGAATGTAAAAACATGAGAAGATACTTAAGCTGTAATGTTAAATACGGCAATATAAAGATTATGTACAAAAATAATCTCAATTGCATTAAAATACGTAGGAGGAAAAAAGACAAGGATAAAGCAAACTGTTAACAGGGTTTGCTGCTGGGTTTACGACAGTTGTGTGCAGGTGTGTGTGTGCATTCTTTTTTGTACCTTCCAGTTTCTCTGAAGTAAACAGCTAGTTATTTTTATAATCAGGAACATAAACAAAAATAAAAACATTCACTATCTATAAGGAGGTTCAGAGAAGTTGGGCGACTTGCCCTAAAGCAGAAGGTACTAAGCAGCAGTGAGGACAAGAACCCTATCTCCTGAATCCCAGATGCAGGGCTTCCCATCCTGTCGGCCTCCTCCTATGAATTACCTCCAAGTAGCTGCGCTTCCTAAATCCCAGCTGTTTCAACTAATTGTCCCAAATAAATATGACCCGGCTCAAATCTGTTGCTTTTAGAAACTGAAAGAATATCAATTGGCCTATTTCATTAAAAATTACTGTAGAACATGGTGTGTGCTTTTAAAAAAAACTTACGTTCAAGTTGTAAACTAATTGTGTGAAAAGTTTAAGAAATTAATCAGTCAAGAGATTACTTCCTCCTCACACGTCATGGCTAGGGCACTATGCAACCCATTCTGAGCTGTGTAATCTTTATGGGCTTTTTTAAAAAAAGGCACCAGGTAAGAGAAGAAAGGTAGGGCAACCTGTAGTAAAAAAATAAAATAAAATGACTAGTGCACCTGACCGGTACAGCCCATAAAATTTTTGCAGATTACCCGAAACAAATATAGCTTATAACTTTATGCTTAAAAAAAAAGAAAAGAAACCCGTTGCCGTCGAGTTGATTCCGACTCATAGCGACTCTACAGGACAGAGTAGAACTGACCCATAGGGTTTCCAAGGAGCGGCTGGTGGATTTGAACTGCAAACCTTTTGGTTAGCAGCCGAGCTCTTAACCACTGCGCCACCAGGGCTAACTTTATACTCGGGAAGTCATTAAGAAGAATGTGAATTGGCTATTCTGGCAGCCAAGATAACCCAAGATCTGGATTTCTTTGTGTCAGTACAGGCTGATAAGAGTATATACTACCAGCAGGCAACTGGTCTGTTAACTTTCAGAGCACCAAAAAAAAAAAAAAAAAAAAAAAAATCCACAATCAGAGCCAATTTCAACTTGGCAATTAAAACTGGCACAAACTTCACGGTAAAAGTACCACCCAGGAAAGGAAATCTAACCCCTTCCTCCAATCTTTCTTCAGGAGTTATATTAAACATGAAACACGTGCAACTGTACTTCTAAACGAACGATATTTCAGAAAATTTTCTTCATTACAAGTGGTGCCCAGCCAGCAGTATCATCTCAAAATCGTTTACATTACCGTGTAAAAGGCAGGCAGGCATAGGGGATGCAGTTTACCTGTGCAAGGTACAGTGCCTACCGATCTTTTTTTTTTCCCCCTAAATATAGCTGTGTACATTCTTGAGTACTGAAAAAAGTATCGAACGGCTAAGTTTTCCTAGAATGTCCTGGCACCATCCCAAAGCACCAAACTCAGAAGGCAGTGCTTGTATTTTGACGAGTTTATTAGGACCAAGTCTGCACCCAGCGGCGCGGCGGCCGTGGGGCCGCGAAGGCGCGGGACATCACACGCAGTGCCAGCTCGAGTGACAGCGTCCACAATCACAGCCACGACACCGGGCACACTCGGCGGGGAGGTGCGGGCGTAGGCTCCCCACACGGGCCAAGCAACAGCCCTTCAGCATCGCCCGAAGAAAAACTATCCATTTCCTTTTCTCGCATGCCGAGCCTCAAAAGTCAACCACTACCGGGCTTTTACCCCTTCTGCATTTTCTCCGAAAAGGTTTTCCGGGGAGAGTGTGCAAGGTCGGGGTTTACCACTTCCCATCACAGCGATAAAAACGCACCTCCTGCCAAATAAACGCGAGGCTCGCGCGCGGACGTGACCGCCGGGCCCACGCGCGAAGCGACGGCGGCTCGGGCTCGGCCGGCGGACGTTCCCAACCCCGCGCGCAGCCTAAGCGCAGCCGCGC